TTCAGATCGATTGTTGCAACGCAGCCGTGCCTGGACTATAAAGCAGGCTTTAGTACTGCCGAAAGCTGCTATGAATATGTAGTAAAAGCGAAAAACCATCATCTGGTATTCATTGAAGCAGATTTACCGGATGAACAGGGATTATGGTTGGCACGGCAGCTGCGTGCCACAAAAAACGGAGTTGTATTGCTTTCGGCCCATACCAATGTCCTGAACCATGCATTTGAATTAAATGCCCTCGACTATATGTTGAAACCAGTTTCGGAAGTAGCCATGGAGCAGGCCATCAGCCGTATTAGTGAACAGCATCAGGTAATTAACGCCATCATGGATGAACCTGTAAAAGATTTAAAACAAACAGCATTGCAGCATTTGCCCAGTCGGATTTTTCTGCATATGATCAGTTCGATAGAAGTGGTTATATTGGCTGATGTATTGTATATCAGTTCGCAGGGCAACTATTCAAAATTTATAAAACGGGATGGGACAGAGCTATTATCCAGCAAGAATATTAAAAATTATGAAAGTCTCCTGATAGACCATCCTGATTTTATACGTATTCAGAAATCATACATTGTTAACCGGAAATACATATTGTCCATTTCCAAAAAGATGAAAAACTATAAAGCCGTATTAATCAATAAAGAGGAATTGGAAATTTCTTATCCCCGAAGAGAGGAGATCTTAAAACGGATCATGGAGTGACAATCCCGGATGGCAGCGGCCGGCTTTTGTTTTACAACAGCGGTAATAAAGTATAAGGCGCAACCCATGCGGTGATGGTTGCTTTAACCGGCGCGCGCGAAGGAGCTGGATATCAATAAATTTCATGCTTTTAAATTAGATAATGCTGGGGCTGCTGCGTCGGTTATATATGCATCCGGCAGTCCCGGGCTGGAAGGTACACCCACACGATTATTATCTGCCAAGCCTTCTCCCCATAATTCCATGATCAGCAATACCAATCTCTTTGATGCGGAATTACCTTGGTAAAGTACTCTCAAAACTTTCCGGGAATGATCTCTTCATTGCATGCTTTAGACTAGGCTATTTTATCAGGTATCCTGATAAGCATAATAGAAGATTTTGTGGATTTTTTTCTATTTAACAATTTTTAAGGATGTGAAAAAGCCTTAAGATAATGGTTGTATAGCCCCCTCAACAGTTTCTATAGAAATAAATTTCTGGCGCTGTGTCCTTAT